ACACACACACACACACACACACACCCCTCTAACAACACACCGTGCATGCGCACACATGCACACACATGCACAATGGGTCTGCTTCTCTGGCTGAGCTCTGTGGGGTTCTCGCACAGGCCTGCTGGGGGACCACGCGTGGAGCACCTGGAAGGAGAATTGTGGCAAGAACCATATGAAATATATCCCCCAGAGGAACCACGACTGTTGAAAAATGACATCAACACAGGAGTTCCTCTTCTGTCCTGGTGACAAGTCACTGAAGGCCCCCTTGTCTGATTCTCAGCCCACCTCTGTCTGTCTCTCTCTGCCACTATCTCTCTTTGTCTCTCTCTGCCACTATCTCTCTATGTCACTCTCTGCCACTATCTCTCTATGTCTCTCTCTGCCACTATCTCTCTTTGTCTCTCTCTGCCACTATCTCTCTATGTCTCTCTCTGCCACTATCTCTCTTTGTCACTCTCTGCCACTATCTCTCTATGTCGCTCTCTGATACTATCTCTCTGTCTCTGCCACTATCTATATCTCTGTTTCTGCCACTATCTCTCTGTGTCTCTCTTTCCTGTTCTCCTTCTGGCTCTCGGTATTTCCCCTGCTCTCCCATCCTTCCTGACACTTTCTTGCCTCTCACCTGGCTCAAGCTGCCTGGAATGGTTGGATGGGGCGCCTGGGTAGGGCAGCAGCATTGCCCACATTTCCCACGGTTCAGCACCATGGCCAGAGGTGCAGTTCAGGAAGGACCTCTGCTCCCAGGCATTTTATAGCTTCAGGGCCCCATACACCTCGGCATCACCACCAGGACGGCATGCATTTGCTTGTCATTCCCTGGGCAGGCCTGGCCAACACAACAGGGCTGGGGTTGCAACAGAAACCTGTGACCCCTCTGTATCGGTTGCACTGCCTGCACCACATGTTAGTCCATGTAAGCCCCATAATGGCCTGTGAGGTCAGCACTGTTATGCCTATTTTGCGGATGAGAAAACTGAGAAACAGATTCAGAGCAGGAGGTGACTGGTCCAGGGTCCCACAGCTTGAAAGAGGAGGAGCCAGGGCTCACATTGACCACACAGACCCCCCAGTTCATGCGTCTTCCTTGCAAGGCTTAGAGAAAGATGGGATGCTAGCCAATTCTAGATACCAGCTCACCCAGCCACACCCTAAACTTGGAAACACTATTGCCACCTGTCCATCAGAGCCACACCTTGTAGAAGAGACGGGTCTGTCCCAGAACCACATGGACTGTCCCAACCACACAGAAGCGGCCACAGCCCAGACTGTGATAAAGAGCGGGGGTGGGGGTGGAGGGGTCAGCCACAGCTCCCTGTGCCCACTGGGCGCCCACTCTCAAGAGAGACCTGCCCATTATAATTCTCATTAATGATTATTAATGATTGCTGATATTTGCCCAGAGCTTTCTGCTGACTAGGAGCTCCGGATCTGCGTGAGTTGGCATTTGCTTATGAATGAAGCCAGATGCAGAAGCAGAGCAGCCTCGAGGGAGGGGAGCGATGGCACTGGAGTCGATGTGATGAGGAGCAGCTATGAGGACGGGTGTGGGGAGAAATGCCCCCCCCCCCCCGGCCAGAGGCCAGCTGCACTGATGTGCAGGGTCTGCTGCTCCCGCCCGAGGGCGTGGTGGGCTCTTCATAACCACCACGTGTGCCTGGAGAGTTAGGGGAATTGGGACTTTGGCTGTTCCTATGTCCTTTCTCTTTGTGTTCTGTAAATTTTTTTTTTTGAATGTGCTGGCTGGTACTGGCTCAGCCCGGAGGAGGCCTCGCCCTGTCTGCCACTGGGGTCCAGTAGGACGGGGGCACAGGCAGTGCTGCAGGGGGGTCTAAAGCAGCAGTGCCCATCCTCGAGTGTGTGCCCTGCTGACCGCTCACAGCGTCCTTGTTGGGAAGTCCTTGGGGTTACACCCACTTACAGACAAGGAAACGGAGGTTCAGAGAAGGGAGGGGGCCTATCTGGGTACATTCAACCTGGAGCATGGAGCCAGCTGACTCCAAGCTCCCAGCTGACCATGTGCAGTTAACCTCCCTGCACGTCAGTTTCCTCAGCTGTGGGATGGAGGGGATGCCAGCACCCAGCTCACAGAGCCTCTGTGCGCATGGACAAGTGAACGTGCAAAGCAAGAGAAGAGTGAGGGTGGCTAGTGAGCAGTGTTGGCAATCCTTATACTCACACATCATCCCCTAAACAAAGCTTCACAAACACTATTTACTTTCTCCATGTACAATGCATATGAATAGTTTTCAAAATACTGGTCTTAGCACACAATATCATAGACCATGCTGCTATAAAGCCCTGCTGCCAATGTTGGAAGAACCTCGCCTGGAAGAAGAGTACCCTGGGGACAGAGCCTGGGACCCTCTGGCCTCCCTCCGAGGTCCCATCTGTTCGACCAGGGGAACTCGGTGTTTTGTTTTAGGGAAAGGCAGTTCCCCCTCCTCCCTCTGTCCACCCCATGGAAACCTGGTTATGACGGGCTTGACAGCAGAATCCAGGAGCTGTAACATGGAGAGAAGCATGACGGGGAGGGGGCGACGAGGATGGGAGCCGCCTGGAGGAGCTGTGCAGAGCGGCTTCAGCCTCTTTTCTTTGGTGCTAGTTGGTAGGACCATCTCGTCCATACACTCAACAGCTGTCACTGAGGCTGGGCTTCAACCAGCATTCACTGGTGTGGAGACACTCCGGTGCTCTGCCATTTCCTTTGTTGCTTGCCTTTTCAGTGCACAGCGGCCAGGTGTTCACCTGCCAGTGCCAGCATCACTTTACCGGATGCTGGCGCCACCTGAGAGCTTGCTTCTGCAGTACTCGAACCAAGACACTGAGCATGAGCTGGGTGCATGAGTGCTGTGTGCTGGGGTACAGTCGGTATGTCAGGGTGCTGTGTGCTGGGGCACAGTCAGTATGTCAGGGTGCTGTGTGCTGGGGTGCAGTCGGTATGTCAGGGTGCTGTGTGCTGGGGTACAGTCGGTATGTCAGGGTGCTGTGTGCTGGGGCACAGTCGGTATGTCAGGGTGCTGTGTGCTGGGGCACAGTCGGTATGTCAGGGTGCTGTGTGCTGGGGCACAGTCGGTATGTCAGGGTGCTGTGTGCTGGGGCACAGTCGGTATGTCAGGGTGCTGTGTGCTGGGGCACAGTCGGTATGTCAGGGTGCTGTGTGCCCGGGCACAGTCGGTATGTCAGGGTGCTGTGTGTTAGGGTGCAGTCAGTATGTCAGGGTGCTGTGTGCTGGGGCACAGTCGGTATGTCAGGGTGCTGTGTGCTGGGGCACAGTCACTATGTCAGGGTGCTGTGTGTTGGGGTACAGTCGGTATGTCAGGGTGCTGTGTGTTGGGGCACAGTCACTATGTCAGGGTGCTGTGTGCTGGGGCACAGTCGGTATGTCAGGGTGCTGTGTGTTGGGGCACAGTCACTATGTCAGGGTGCTGTGTGTTAGGGTACAGTCGGTATGTCAGGGTGCTGTGTGTTGGGGCACAGTCGGTATGTCAGGGTGCTGTGTGTTGGGGTACAGTCGGTATGTCAGGGTGCTGTGTGCCCGGGCACAGTTGGTATGTCAGGGTGCTGTGTGTTGGGGTGCAGTTGGTATGTCAGGGTGCCATGTGCACAAGTGTGGAGTGCTGTGTGCCCTGTGCTGGGAGGACCAGATGTGTTCCTATTGGGAAAACCACCAGAGTCTTTCATGGCCTGAGGCCTGGTTTGCTTGCTATCTCTCTCCCTCCCTCTCTCCCTCCCCCCCTCTCTCTCTCTCCCTCTCCAGCCACCACATTAGACACCTTTGGGTCTCTGCACAAGGCAGTTCCTCTACCTGCAGGTCCTTTCCCTTCTCTTGCCACTTGCCAAGCCCGGCCTCTCTGAAGAGACGGCATTTGAGCAGAGACTCGAAGGAGGCGCGGGAAGGAGCTGAGTAGACACCTGGAGGAAGGCTCCTAAGAGGCAATGTAGCTTGTGCAAAGGGCCTGTGCAGATCGAGCCTGGCATTAGAAAACAAGTGCAGTCTGCACATATGCAGACCCGAGGACACAGACAATGGGGTGGTGAGGACCTGGGGGCGGGGGAGGAGGGGAGCGGGCTGGAAGAGGTTAATGGGGGAGGAAAAGGAGGACCTATGTAATACTTTCAGCAATAAAGATTAAAAGAAAAAATGAAAAAAACACACAACCAAAAACACAAATGCACTAGAAGCTAAGAGAGGAGGCCAGGCCTTGAGGTGGGGGTGGGGGCTTGGGCTTCTCGCTAAGGGAGGTGCGAGCCACGGAGGGATCCTAGCAGAGCGGGGCATCTTTCTCTCCACAGCCCACACTCTGCCTGGCCACGTTCCTTACTTTCCCTTTCCCGTCATTGTAATTTGTTTGTGTGGTTGTTTGTTCAGCTTTGTCTCTGTCAGCGGGCAGACAGCTCGGGAGGAAAAGGCCACACCCCGCACACAAAGGACTCAGAAGGGTGAGGCTGCCCCAGCCCCCACCCATGGGCTGCAGGGTCCCTGGTGCCAAAGTCAAGCCATTTCCTTCCGGGATGACTTCAGCCCCCTAAGACCCTGGCTGGGATGTCACTCAGCTCCCTCCCCAGATAGGAGTGACCTGTCAGGTGTCTGGAGCCCCATCCCCCCCAATCCTGGTACCTCCACCTGAATCTGGGAACTTTACTTCCAAGTGAAGCTAGAGACGTGGAGACAATGGCCAAGGTGGGTGGAAAGGGAAGAAAGTGAGGAAGTGTCGAGCTCTGTACGCTGCGCTCTAAACTCTGTTCTCCACAGCATTTAAATGCCGGCAAGCGGATTAATAAGGTCCTGGTCATAGCAGCAGCAGTCTATATTTAATCTATCTGCAACGCCAGTTGGTCGGGCCGTGTGAATATTGATGGCCGGGCGGGATTGAGGACAGGCAGCATGGCACCGGCTTTATCTCTCGGGCGCAGGCGGCCGGGCCCTTATCAGGCCAGCCCGGCTGCTGCAGCTGCGTCTGCCAGGGCCCGCACCCCGCCTCCCGCTGCCTGCTTTGTAATCAGAAGAGAAGAAGTTGCTGCCTTGATATTTCCATTTTTATCACTTTTATTTACTTCATTTTAATGTCTTTCAGGGAATATTTTCTTTGCACCAAGGCAAGGCAAGGCTGACGGTTGCTTACATCTTTCTGCCGCCCCTGCCCCTCAGCCAGGCTGGGACAGGGGAGAAGAGGTGAGGGGCTCCCGTCCCACCTCTGCCCTCCTGGCCCTCCGTCTCCCCCTTCTCCCACTCCCAGCTGCCTCTCTCCTGTCTACATTTTGCTTCCCTCTTTTTGTGAATTCCTTCCCAAGTGATTCACACCCTCCAGATCCAAAGCCCCCCACTTTGCCTATCTTCACCCTCACCCAGATTTTGGATTCCCAGCCCAGCCCTGATGGTGAGGGATTAGTTACAAGGTGCCTTAACCCACAGCCCTGGAGGAGGGTCCTGGGAGCCTGTTCCTGAGAGGAGCCTGTCACGGTTGAGGAACAGGTGAGTTCCAGCCGCTGTCCCGCCACCACCACCTCGGATCTGGATCTGGGGGAGCGCTGATTATCTCCCTTTCCCGGATGAGGAAGCTGCGGTTCCGAGAGGTTATCAGTCACAGTCACTTTGCTCCGAGCTGGCAACTCGTGACAGAGAAAGGAATTGCAGCGTGGCCGGGCCTTCGGAGACGGTCTCCATCCGGCACAGGGCTGGCGCCGAGCGGGGCCCCGCCAACGTCCGCTCGCCTTGCCTGTGTCTCCTCCCTCGTGTGTGAGGCTGGATGGTCATATCCCTGTTACTCAGTGAAGGGAGACAGCGTGTGCGGCAGCTCACGGTGAGGGCCCAGCCTCTCTGTGCCTGGTTGAGTGTCATCAATGCCCCCGCACTGGATTGAATAGTTTCCCCAAAAGATATGTCCATTCCCCGTGTTTGGAGAAAGGGTCTTTGGAGATTTGATGAAGTCAAGGATCTCGAGGTGAGATCATCCCAGATTAGGATGGCCCCAAATCCAAGGGCTCCGGCCTTTATCAGAGAAGAGAGAGATTTAGACACACAGTGGGAGGCGTGTGAGGACAGGGGCAGAGGCTGGAAGGATGCAGCCACAAGCCAAGGAACACTAGGGGGCTACCGGGAGCTGGAAGAGCCTCTGGAGGGAGTGCAGCGCGTGCGCCTGGATTTCAGGCGGCCCCAGCGCGGGGAGGGGGTAGATTCCCGTTGTTTTAAGCGTCCTGTCTGTGGTCACAGCAGTGCCAGGGCACCCCACCGTCCTCACCTGGTGGAGAGCCCCTGGAGGGACGGATGGCATCCTGACCCACTCCAAAGCCGCAGCGACAAGTCTAGAGCTGCTGCCGAAAAGGTGCTGGTGACAGTCGCTGAGCGAGCAAATGAAGCCCAGGGTAGGGATCAGCCCTGAGCACATGAGAGCGCTGGTGACGGGGGCCCAGGCACAAAAGGTAGTTTGCTCCGGCAGCAAGCCCAGCCTGCCTCACGCCGTGGCCCTGCCCAGCCACTTAGTGCCTCCACGTTTGTGGGGGTGGAACCGCCTCCGGGGATGTGGAGACTCCTTTTGTCTTCTTCATAAACAGTGTGACAACTAGAGGCTGCCCCAGGAAGGGCTTGGGGTGGAAATGGCTACCGTTTATCTGCAGAGCAGAGAGCAGAGAGCCCGTGGGGAGGGCGGCCGTCTGCCAGCCTGCCATTTGGGACGTGTTATTTTCCAGGTTTCACGCTGAAGAGCAGAAAGGCCGGGCGCTGGTGGGATCAATGTGGTTTCTGTCACTGAATAGAGAAAGGTCAAGGCTGGAAATGATGCATCGCCTCAGCACCAGGAGCCCCAGAGGTACTTGGCTGAGCCATTGTTCCCACCAGTCGCCTGAGGAGACCACACAGTGTGGGGTCACACCCCTCTTCCAGGCCTGCCCATCACCAGGACCCCCCCCCCCCCCCCCGCCCCATGCACTCCTGGACCAGGCGGGGGCAGGGGGGGGGGAGTGTATGAGGGCCACTCTCATGGGGCCTCAGGTGATTGCCTCTCAGGGGGAGGAATGGGATACTCAGAGCAAGAGAGAAGCACCTGGGCCTGGCTGGTGGCCTCAGTGGCTGAGCATCGATCCATGAACCGGGAGGTCACGGTCATTTCCTGCTCAGGGCACATGCCTGGGTTGTGGGCTTGATCCCCAGTGGGGGGTGTGCAGAGGCAGCCGGTCAATGATATATATATTTGAAAAAGAGAGAGAAAAACACCTGGGCTAGAGAGGAAGGACCCTCCCCTCCAACCCCCCCCCCCCCCCGAAGATAGGGGCGGGAAATGTTTGAGCCTAGGCCCAGGTGTCCCTGGGGGGAGGGGACCGTTTGGGGAGTTTTCCATCTAGTTAGGATGGCAGACAGGTGAAGGAGAGAGCAGGCAGGTCAAAAACAATGAGTATTCCTGGGTTCACTCACTGGGGTCCCAGAGAGGCTGAAGTTGGAGGTCTGGGGGAGCTGTCCCAACCAGATTCCTCTTTCCTTCACATGTGGGTCCCACACCAGAGGGCACTGGGTGGTGGAAGGGCAGGTAAGGCAGCCCAGAAACACAGGCTCAGAGCTGGGGGGTTGAGGGTGGGGGGCGGGCGGAGCTGGAAAAGGCTTGAGGAAGCTAAAGGATGTCCCGGTCACACAGGGCCGTGACAACACAGCCGGAACAGGCCTCTCATAGCCCGGCAAGAGTGTCGATGGGCCATGACAGCCTCCAGGACTGCACGGCCATCCCGTTGGTGTTTCCTTGCAACCAGCACAGATGAGACACTGTCATCACCCCATTGTGCAGCCAGAAACACCAAGGCCAAGAGCTGGAAGATGCCCACCTGTCAGGACAAGCAGAGCCACAGGGCCAGCCTCGGCCTCCTGGGGAAAGGCCAGGGCTCCGCTGCTAGAGGCGGTTAGGCCACCAAATGAAAAGCCCTCATTAACTAATAAAAAGTGCTTGCATTCCCTTGTCACTCACATCATTAGTGGGAGCCAGGACTTTAATGAGCTCTGTCCAAACTGCAAGGGGCCCCAAACACAGCTCCACCCAGAGGCCAGGGAGGGCAACTCACAGCTTCACCCACCTGCCTCAGCCTCCTTCCTCCCCCTCCCCCAGGAACACCCCTCACCGAAGATGAGGAGCGGAAACCTGGGGCTTCTCCCTCTCTCCCAGCTGGGGTACAGACTCCAGCCCTGGCCAATCTGCTGCGATTTGAGGCTTTTTGCTCTTCTAGCTAAACTTAAACCTGCCTGATCTTCCCTGGAGCCTTCGCACTAGTCCCCCCCCCCACCACCTCCCACGTGCCCTTCACCCCAACCCCATGGATGGCCCTTTCCTTCCCTCCTCAACCTGTTTGACCCAAGGGGGCTCCCTGGCTAACTAACACCCTTAGACTCTCCCTTCTCTGCCCCTCACTCGCAGAACCAGACCGTACTTCCAGACTTCCAGGCCTTTCCAACTCCTTTCTCCCTGGCCTGCTAGGGACACAGCCCCAGCCTTCTGGCCCAGACCTCCCCCGATCCAGCCTCCTGTCGCAGTCTCTGCCTGCAGTGATCGGGGCCCCAGTGATTCCACCTGCAAATATCTCCTGGGTCAACCCAGAAGCTCCATTTCTGGGGCCTGAGTCCAGACCAGGCCTCCACGGCCACTCACCTGGTTCACCCAAATGCCTTCTGGCTCCAGAGCTGTGAGAGAAGACATTTCTGTTGTCTTAAGCTGCCCAGTTTATGGTCCTTTGTTACAGCAACCCCAGGACACTCCTCCAGTGGGCAAGAGAGCCCAGGCCCAGGCTGCTGAACCCCCTTCTTCACGTGGGGCGTGGACACTGGGACATGATGAGGAAGGCCCAGGGCTGGGCCGGGGGCGCGGGGAAGAGAGGGGGGGTGAGCAATGCCCGCACTGTCACTCACAGAGGCGCAGACAGCTCACAGGAAAGGAGGTCTCCTTAACAACCCGCTGAGCTGCGATGACTGGTGTCCATGTGGGAATGCAGCCCCCGCCTGAGCCTGGCACCATCGGAAGGAGGCTCATGCAAATGGGGCAGAGGCCGATTTGTCAGGGCAAACAGCACTCGGCTTCTGGAAGGAAACAGGAGAAAAACCTACCAGCCACAATTCCTTAGTTAGGACACGAAAAGCACTCGCTGTGGGAGAAAAACAGGAAATCGGATTCATCAAAGGTAAAGCCACCTGCTTTACTTGACTCGTCAAAGACACCATTAAGGAAACAGAAAAGCAAGCCAAGGGGAAAATAAGCATAGGACTCATACAGCAAGAACCTGCACTGACAATTTATAAAGAACTCTTAAAGCTCAATAATAAAAATACAAACAACCCAGTAAAAAGTGGCCCGAACACTAAGACACTTCAGTAAAGGAAAACATACAAAGGACCTATAAGTTCATACAATATCATCAGGGAATTGCCAATTGAAACACTAATGGGCTATTACTGCACACTTACTAGAAAGACCAAAATTAAATTTTTTAAAAAATATATTTTATTGATTTTTTTTACAGAGAGGAAAGGAGAGTTAGAAACATTGATGAGAGAGAAACATTGATTTAGCTGCTTCCTGCACACTCCCTACTGGGGATGTGCCCTCAACCAAGGTACATGCCCTTGACTGGAATCGAACCTGGGACCCTTCAGTCCGCAGGCTGACACTCTATCCACTGAGCCAAACCAGTCAGGGCCAAAATTAATTTTTTTTTAAATTAACTATATCAGACATTGGTGAGGGTGGAGCTACTTGAACTCTCCTGTGTGCTGGTGGGAATGTAAAATTAGGACAACCACTTGAGAAAAGTTTGGGAATGTCTTACAAAAGTAAAGAAACCTGTGATATAACCAGCAACGTTATTCACAGGAATATATCTGAAAGAAAATAAAATGCACAGGTACAAGTATTCATAGCAGCCCCGCTCATTCATAACAGTAAAAAACTGGAAACAACTTAGTGTGTCAACAGCCTCACTGTGTTCGAACGCTGAGACACTGCTCAGCAACAGAGAGAATGAACTGGCGACACAGTGCCAACGCCTCTCTAAAAACGCCGATGCTCCCAGGGTACACCAGATGATTCTGTTCACGAAAAGCTCCAAAAATGATTAACATGCTCTCATAATGATAGAAGTCAGACCGGCGATTGAATGGGGGCTGATTCTAAGGAGGTTTGAAGTGATGGAGATGTCCTCTGTCTTGACTAGAGAAATGTGTGCTTTTGACTGTATATAAATTGCACTGAAATAAAGTTGATTTTAACAAGTGTTAGTGCAACGAGGCAACATATTGCTTGGTGTATGTGTTCGTTTTGCCCTGGTAACAAACAGCCCCCTGAGCTTTGTGGCTCCCAACCACACACTTCTCCCTCACCTTATGTGTAGGCAGCAGCAGGTTGGCTGTGGCTCTTCTCTTTCTGGGTCACAGAACCAGCCTCACGGTGACATTCACTTCTCACATAAAGGAAAAACAGTGAGCTGGTGGTGGAAACCCTTGGAAACCCCCAGAGCTGCTGCTCAGATGTGGCAAGCATCAGTCCCTCCACATCCCACTGGCCAAAATGCCATGTGACCATGCCTGACATTAACAAAACAGGATGAGTCCCCTTTCCCAGAGCTGGCAGGGGTCCTTGGAGTCATGGGCAGGAATGAGCTGCAGTCCTGTCTGGGGAAGGCCAGGGAGCAGTCATTAGAGATGCCATCAAAGGCCTCCCAGGACTCTGAGCTGGGGCTGGGAGGCCGTGAGGGGGACGTAGGCAGTCCAGTAGAGGGCAGGTCCCTAGAGCTGAGAGAATGAAGGTGCCACTGGGTTGGCCTCACTGAGCTCTACACGCCCCAGCCTTCGCTGGGCACATGGCACATTTTAACTCCCAGATTCTCACACAGCCCCACAGGGTGGGCGCTACCTGGAGGATCTAGAAGCATAGACAGATCACAGGACCTGTCCAAGGTGTGCAGTGAGCAGAAAGGCTGCCGTGAGGCTGGGTAGCCTGGCATCAAGGTTCATGCTCCATCTTGGGATATGGACAGCAGGGGTGAGGCTGGGGCTACCCCTGGGGTTGGCACACCATGTTGTCAGCCTCCTCCTCTGCCAGGAACATGCTGGGATGCACCAGGCCACATGAGAGTCAGCCCCGGCTTGCCCAGCCCAGTGCCAGTGAAGCGAGCTGGCAGGCCGGCCAGCTGTGAGCCAGGGACACGGCTTCCCATCTGTCTACTCTCCCAGGTGGCATCTATTTTTAGAGCCAAGGCGTCAGAGCTATGGGATGGGTTCGGGCTCTGCAGGTGGGGAGCCCGCCCCGGGGGAGTTCAGCTGGGGCCAATGGCTGAGAGGCCAGCCGGCTGGAGAGGGTGTGCTGCCAGGCCCCGCTGCCCCCTCCTCCTGAGCCCCTGTCCACATTCCCTGGCCTTTCTTCTTCCTTTTTCTCTAACAACACCTTTGCCACCTGGCTGTCAGGACCCCACGCTCTCCCCACAGCCTCTCTGCTGGCCCCAAATCTTTGGAAAGTTCAGGACCCGGTCCCTGGGTCTCTTCCCTCACATTTGCACCTACTTCTTCTGTGGCTTAGAGTCCACCTTCCCCTGGCAACTCCCACCCTTATGCCCAGGACCAGAGCAGCTCTGAGCTTGCTGAGGGGCCATCTCACGACAGGCGACAGGCGTCTCCAACTGATCAGGCAGGTGAGCTCCTGAACCTACCCACTTCCCAGCCCATCTCACCTGGGCAGTCCCCCTCCCACCACCTCTGTGTCGCTCTAACCACTCAGGTTCCGTGTCCATCTGTCAGCGCGCTACCGTAACCAGCCCAGAATCAGCGTCTCCCCTCTCTGGCACCACAGGGTCCAGGCCACAGCAGCTCTGATGGGATTCTCCCCATGCCGGCCTCTTTCCTCGTCCAGTTTGACCAGTCTATGGCTCCACCCTGGTGACAGCCTCACCCTTGCAAGGCCCTGTGGCCCTACATGACCTCTGACTCCCCGGAAGTCCCCCCACCCCCAACACCAGCCACTCTGGCCACTGGTGTGAACACCAAACTACCTACTGCCCAGGTCCTTTGTGCCTTCTGTCTGGTCCACTTCCTCCCTCACCTTCATGTCCACTCCTTGGGGAATCATCCAAGCCAAGCCCCCTGCACCTCCTTCACCCCTGCCCCCACTCCCTTCTTAGCTGCAATTTCCCCCACTGGCTGAGTATACCGGTAGATCCCACTTGCTTGTTTTATTTATTTTCTGTCTCCCATAGTGGGGTTTGTGTCCATTTTGCTGATGTGGTGTCCCCACTGCCTAGAACAGCGCCTGATACACCGTAGGTGCTCAATGAACATTTATCCAGTTAGTTCCTCACAGTTATGCAGACTTGGGTGGGGGAGGCGTGCATGGAAGACCATTCCTGAATGGGAGTGGGGTCAGGTGCTCAGCAGGTGTGCAGAAGAAGAGACCTGGATGGAAGCAGCAAGACCTTCCACCTCCCAGAAGACCAGGCAGGTCTCCTAAGATGGTGCCTTCTCTAAGATTTCCACACCTTCCTCTCCCGACTCAGACAGTAATAAAGGCAGACCCCAGCCCATCCCTGTGGGGGCACCTGGCTGCCGAGGGAGGCGGGCCCAGCAAGGACTGTGGAGTTTGGCTGACAGGTACTGGGAAGGCTGGGGGCCAGGCAGGATAGGACCTGCGGCTGCAGGCTGGAGGGAAGTGGGACGACAGAGTTGATCAATGTAGATGCAGTTCTGTGAGACCGTGGCAAGGACTCCAGCAGGCAGGCAGTGTTCCTCCAGCCAGGATAGTGCTGGGAAGAGGGGAGAGAGGGAAGCTGGCCCAAATGCAGAAGTGTCGGACCTGCTGTGTGGAGGGTGCAGAAAAGCATCAAAGACGGCGAGGGAGGGGAGATGGAGCTGAGGACACTCCGCGTGCAGTGACAAACAAGGCACAGGTAAGGGGCACCAGAACCAGGAGAAGCTCAGTG